TCCCAATCTGGAGACATTCTCTTTTAAAAAGGAGAAATCATATCTTTCCAGTTTCTCACAAAAGAAAAAGTATGCAGCATTATCCAATCCTAGTCTTTCCTATTTCTGGGCACCTACCTGGGCTACAGTGAGGGTATGGAAGTCTCAGCCACTAAGAAACAAACTCGGAGCTCCTCTTCAACCTACATTACCTTCTCAGTATCCCCCAGCAGAATCTCAAGTCCTTCCTAGCTAACACGCTAAGAAGATGTGACTATGTGCCCATTCCATCCCTGCCTACAATATATGAGTCCAGAGGGTGAGGAAGGGGAGGAGAGGGGTCCCAGGTTACCCCGCAAGCTTGCTGGTGATGAGTGAGGACTTTCTTTGGGGCAGATCCTGTGGGGTGGGGATGTGGTCACCAGTCACCAGGTTCTTGTCTGGTCCTGCACTCAGCAGCTGCTTATTCTTCATCTTGGCTTTGGCCATGTTGTAGTCTCCTGAGTCAAAGTACTTTTGCCCTTTTTGAAGTCTCTTCATGAGGAAGTCAGAGCCTCCAGGTTTTTGTCCTAGACTTGGATATTTGGCCTTTAGCTTTGCCTCCTCGGCTCTCTCAGGGAGAATACTTTCTTTCTCTTGCGTGTCCTGCTTCTCCTTGCTGGTCTCCTCCGCAGGGTTCTCTTCTTCTAGTTTCTGGGACAGGACGGGACCGGGACTGTGGAGTGTAGGGGACCCGGATAGTTAACCGGAGAAGGGAAGGGGGAGGGGAAACGGGGACAACCTGCGCTGCTGCTTCGGCTCCTGTCACTATCTCTACTATCATTTTTTAAAGTTTTGTGTAGAGTCTTTGAAATATATTCTCAATTATGATACTCTTGTCTCATTTTATCCATACAACATACCTTCATTGTCCTGGGCCTAGTGGTCTCTTGCCTTTTTACAGGATATGTGTAATTATATGTTATATTTAAAATCCTGAATTGATATTTTTATTTTAGCAGACTATATGACCATTTTGACTAAATCAGCTTTCTCTGGAATGTTGTTTTGACATTCCATTCTTCCCTCCCTGGGATCAGATTGTTGCAAGAGTAGCTCAGAATTGAGCCTGCGTTGCAGGGGGATTTTTCCCAACTCATTCCTTTCCACAACTTCCAACTCTGCATGGCTCCTCAGGCCTTCCCTTCTGGTCTTCTGGCAACAAAACTGGGAATTTAGTTTCCCTGCATTTCTGTGACAAAGGACAAGGCCATACCAAGTGCTAAGAAGATACAGTAACAAAAGTAGTAGAATTAAGTGACACTGTCTTGGGGAATCAGCTCTTCAAATGAAAAAGGAAAGCTCCATGGGTTCCACTGCCTCTTGTGGGACCACAGAAGAATTTCCCAGTGCAGGATCAAGTAGAATGGAGAAGAGAAAATGTGCACATTCCAATGTTTGTCAGAGCATAAGGAATTCCCTTTCTCCTCTTGGAGACACAAGAGTGGGGCTTATTCTGGAATCTTTCTGTCCATATGTTGGTGTCCTGTTCAGGTCCCAGGAACTTTAAGAGCAGGCATGGGATTAAACATAGATGTAGAAAACTCTCTGCTATTTGGGTGTTTTTACCATGCTGATGGTTCCTTCAGTCTGTTTCTGTGATTTGTTTTCCTAAGTGATCACAAATATATTCCATGAATACTGTGTGGGCTTTATTTGCTGGATTCAGTCTGAAAAGATAGTGTGTGCTTAATGCACTCTAAATGAAATCTGAAAGCAACAATGATATTTTTATGTAGAAAATTAAATAACTCTGAACCAGAGTCTATGCAAAACACTGATAGAAATCACTTTTAAAAGTACCTTCAGAAAATGAATGGAGAGCTTGTTTGGAGTTTCTAGCAGGGGAGCTCAGCTACTCGTATACCCTTGACTGAAGATCACTCCTCCTCTATTGGAGAAGTTTGTCCTCATCGAGAAAAAAAAAAAAAAAAGAGTAGAAGTATAATGGCATAAATTGGTGTGAACATACTTTATATATAGAGTTACAAAAATTGTTCTGTATATGGGTAATAATGAGTGTAATACATTCCACTATTGTCATGTATTTAAAAAATAAATAAATGAAAGAAAAAAAGAAAAGAAAATGAATAGAGAACATTTAGTCACACATGTGCTGATTTTTAAATTTTTTAATTTGTTTTAATTACTTCTACATGACAGTAGAATACATTTATGCAATTTGATATATCATACATACATAGGATATAACTTTTTATTTATCTCAGTGTACATGTTATAGAATCATAGAGAGAGAGAGTCATCTCTCTCTCTCTCTCACGCACACCAATAGTTAAGTTTTTCTGTGCTTAGCAAAACAAGGAGTTCTGTGAGAAAGTATGAACTCTTTGAACTGTGTCCTTGTTGCTGTCTTATGAAGATAGGCGAAAAGAATGTTCTGCCAAGTGTAAAATTTATGTGTGTGTGTGTGTGTGTGTGTGTGTGTGTGTGTGTGTTTGCCTGGGAATAACTAACCACAAGTTCATTGATAAGAAATATGGAGCACTGTGACCATAAACAAAGGTTTCCTGAGAATGTTTATCCATGCTTGTAAGAATTAAGCTGACAAAAGGATGTTTTTTCTTTTCCCTTGTTTTAATTAACAATGCTGTATAAAAGAAGGAGAGAAAAAAGTAAAGATGGTGCTCATTTTCTATTGAATGCATGTGTGTGC